TTGTCACGGCGTACGCTCCAGTTCATAGCGAAGATGTGCCAGGGGGCTTCATAGGTGTATATCTCGGAGCGTTTCTGCTGCTCGTCAGAGGCCTCAGGGTTGGGATCGCTACTGGCACCCATTCCAAATTCTTCCCAATTCCCTGAAATCTTAAAACCAAAGTGAAATAGTCAATTAGTACAAAGATTAGATTAGAGTTCTCTAATGGAAACAGAACAATCAATCTGAAAAGCAAAATTGGCATTTCCTTTCCTAATTCCCACAACATCCAATCCAATCCAATACATCGGAAAGGAAGATTGAATTTTGAGTTGATGTAAGACTACCCTTGTTTTGATTGATAATTGACAATAATAATAACCACCGTTTCGTGACCAGGCGGAAGGGACTCACAAAATATTCACTGAAACAAAACATCAGTGGAAAAGAAGAGAAGCCACATCTCAGAACTCTTTCAATCAGCTGCTTAATTTAATTTAATATATACCTAGAAAAGAAAAGAAAAGAAAAAACCTATTTGTGGAACTAGGGTTAGTTTTTATTTCGATTAAGGAAAACAAAGAAGAAGCATATTAGCATTGGCAATTTTCCTTTTTAATTTCCCAAATTTGCTAAGTAACCAAACAAACGGTTAGGTAAGAAACGCACCAGTAAGCGAGGGCGATGAAGCAGTAAACCGGCGGCAGGTGAAGCTGCAGCTGCTACGGAGAAGAAGAAAAGCCAAGGGAAGGAGAAAGATGACGGAAAGGGTGGATGTTATTGTTAGGGTTTTTCTGAGCCGGGTCTTGAGTCCAAATCCGGCCCAACAGGAATAGGAGTGCAGGTCTTTGGTAAATTACAAGTTTAGACCCCAATTTTCAGACAGATGTTCAATGTCAGTTTTAAACGTTTTTCTTTAAAAAGCTGATCCTTGTACTTTAATTTTTCATTCATGAACGACCCTCAACTAAGTTATCATTGATAAGGGTCCTTGTACATAATGCAGAAACCATTTTAATGGAGCCCTACTTAAAAAATTCGTAGTGTTCGAATCCTTTGTCTAACATATTGCTTGCCAACAAACTAAAGGGCGTCTATTCTGGAGTTAATGAAATGCAGAGATGCAATGGTATATATGTTAAAAATTAATGAGATAGAAAATCCATTATCAAAATTAAGATTGAGTTTAGTTTGTTTTTGACCTCCATGGAAAATACAATTCCTTTGGATTACATTCCTTTCTTCTATTTTGATTTTACTTTGTGGTTAGAGGGTATTTTAAGCACACTAAGATTAACTCCACCCTTGTGAGGTAGTTAGAAGTAAGGGTGGGCATTTGGGTGGTTAACCAAAGGGTTAACTAGAAACCGACCTAAAAAAATGAATTCAGATTGCTAGTAATGGTATTCAAGTTTTTAGGCTCAGCTTTGTTATTACCTAAATAAAAGTTCAAGTTGGTTTCAGTTAGGCCTTCCACTAACCAAAAACCAAAAATGGACCTCCTAAAGATCAAATTGGAGGCCCAATTTTTTTTGCCAAAAAATTAAAAGAACAAGGGGGGAATAGTAGAAAAACCTAAAACTTCATTGTTGCCTCTATGTGCCTCAATATTTTAAGATTCCCTGCCCACCCAAAGTTTGCACCCCTCCAAAATCAAATCTAAAGATCTAATTTCTCTCTATCCCCATCATTCCACCATGATTTTTTTCCATTCAATCATTTTTTTTTCATAAGTATAAAACGATTTAGACATCATATTACCATACTTGTTCATCTTTTTCTTCTCTAAACTTTGATATGTTTTTAAAACTCTCTTTTTCATGTCTTTTTCTCTTCGTAGCATCATTAATGTTGTCGCTTGGTAATACTCTTTCTACTTCTAACCTTATTCTCTTTCCCTATTTCTCATTGATCCTTCTTTGGTTGTGATACCAAAAAACCCAATCCTTACCTTTCAGTTCTCTTCTCTAAGCTCTTATTCTCTCCCTTCAACTTTAGTCCGTGATTGCTGGTAGAGGCTCTAAATCTTCCATTAGTAAGGTATTTTTGAAATCTTAAATTGATTTATCATGTGTTACCCTATATTTGATATTTTGATTTGAGTGAATTTAAGTTTATCTTATGTCATTTAAAATGCCTAAAGTATCAATTTTTAGATTTTTGAAATTAAACATTAGCTTATTTGCAATTTTAAATCTTGTTTCAATTTTACATTTATATGGATTATGCTAACTCTTAGCTTCAATCTTTTAATTACAGTTTTTCTTCCTGTTTAGGTTACATTCTTGATAACCCAAGAGATGGCAAAGATGCAACCTAACAACTTAAGAGTACATATTAAGTTTTAGAAATTGTTGATGTTAACTTCTCTACACTTAAGACATATTTACTCTAAAGTACATAAGAAATAAACTAATTTATAGTTAAACTTGTATGTTGGTTGATTTTATGGTGTCAATGATGGTTGCTTAATGCATAACCAAGATGCTTAAACTATCAATAATGGGTAGCCACAAAATGTAGAAGTTGAATTAGGAGATGATTTTAGACAAGCATAAGAGGAGAGAAAGGCAAGAATGATGTTAATGGCAAAAGAAAGAATGGTAAGAAAAGATCTAAAGTATGGGATCATCTTAGTGAGATTGTTGATAAGGATGGGAAAAACAAGGATAAATGAAGCTACTGCAACAAGTCTTTAGCTTATAATAGTATAACTAATGGCACCTCCTCTATGAAAACTCATTTACTAAGTTGTAGTCAATATGCTGAGTTTAGAAAGAATCAAACAATGCTTAGCTATTATCATGGTGATGTTGAGAATGGTGGCCAAATGCCTTACTTAGGCATCTAGAGGTTTGGCCTTGAGTTTGTAAGGAAGGCTTTACCTGAATTGATCATACTTAATGAAATTCCATTTGGTTTTGTTAAAGAGCAAGGGTTTAGGAAGTTCTATTTGCTTGTATTGCCCCTTCATTTTAGGATCCCATCTAAAAGGTTAAAAAACCAAAGATTCTTATAGTATTTATATGGATGAAAGGTTGAAGCTTAAATCATTTTACAAAGAATCAAGGCAAAGGGTTTCACTTACTACTGACACATGGACCTCATTTCAAAAAAAATTTTATATGTGTTTAACTGCACATTATATTGATGAAAATTAGAAGTTGCACAAAAAAATCCTAAACTTTTTTCCTATTGAGAGCCAAAAAGGGGAAGAGTTAGCTGACCTTCTAGAGAGGTGTTTGAAGGACTGGTTATTGAAGAGGTATATTCATTGACTGTGGACAATGCATAATCAAATGATGAAGTTGTTAGGGTTCTTAAGAATGCTCTTAGCAAGTGGGGAACAACAATTTTGGGTGCACAAAGATTTGCATATGAGATGCATAGCTCACATCATCAACCTTATAGTTGGTGATGGAATAAATGAGGAAGAGATACACAAGAGTGTAATTACTATATGTAAGACAAAGTTTATTAAGATTAAAAAGATTCAAAGATGTTGTTAAGTTTAAAGATATTGAAACAAAGAAATGGCTTTGCTTAGATGTTCTCATAAGGTGGAAATCTTTGTATTTGATGTTGGATATTGTAGAAAATTATGAGATGGCATTTGAGAGGTATAATTTATTATCTTAAGTTTTGTTTTGGCTTTTTTAGTTTAGCTTAGTTTATTTATATTTTTGTTTAAGAATTGTGAATAACTTGCTTTGTTTTTCTATAGATATGCTTAAAGTGGCAGAGATATGAAGGCTAAACTGAATTATGGACCACATGCACCTAGTTTTCCATCCTATGTTGATTGGGAAAATGTGAGAAGGGTGGTTAGGTTCCGAAGCACTTCTACTACTTGATTGATAATTATTTTAGGATAAATGGAGTAATGTACTCCCTACATCCCTAATTTAAATTTTGAGAAATAATTATCACTCTATAATTTTAAATTTGTCTTGAATTAATTATTATTTTTTATTTTTAAGA